CAGAAACTAAGATAGAACCATTCTGGAACTTGCCATAAGCGTTGCAATCCCCAATGCGAGTCTCCTGCAAGGCGACGACATCAATGTTATATTCCCCTTAGGTTTCTGGCCATCAAGTCACATTTAGGTTTTCAGGAATCCTTCAATGTTTAAGTGGTACACACGAAGACCTCATCCGATCGTTTCCTGCCCCTTATTTTTTTTTTATTAGTGCGGTATATAAGCTCCAAACGATCATATCTGAATTCAAATTAATGCGTTCATTTTACCTACATGACGGCATTGGTTGTGTTTAAGGTGACACGAAAACACGTCTTTTTTTGTGTGTGTGGCCAAAACTTGTGAAGGATTTGGCTCGCAAACCGTGGGGTTTATGTAAAAGAAAAGTAGTCTGCTACCACGCCATAAGCCCCGTGCTGAGCCAGCGCTATTCCGAATTCTCGTCCGTCACCTTTAAAGTAGTTTAATTAGCGATTTAGTGCTCTTTTTCGGTTATTCATTTCTTCAAAAGCACGTGCACGACCCTACCAACTCACACGTGTTCGGTGGGGGGGGGAGGGCCCCTACCAACTCACACGTGTTCGGTGGGGGTGAGAGGGGAATTATCTTTCGTGTGGACACTGCACGCGGTAACACGCACAGATTTACAGCTCCCTTCAAACATTTATGACCATGATGACTGTTAATGACAGGGAATGAACCCACGTTTATGAAGAAATAGCCTTTTTTCTGTACTCTTAAGGCATAAGCAACCACGCAATATCAATTACTGCACAGGGACAAACCAATAAATATACCCAATTGCGTCTTCATTCCATCATATTTACGGGGGTCGAGCAGTGACGCCTGATTGGTGCGCATCTGCTCATAGGTACAGGTAGGCTAGAGAGTAATTTTGTATTCGTTGACTTTCATTCATTTGCTGCTATTGCTCGCAGCAAATGTTTGCACCAAAATAGCTGAACACCCTCGCAGTCGCTCCTAATGGCTCGTGTATTATACACGCGTGCATTTCCCCTCTCTCTTGTTTCTTTCGCTAAAGTCGCGTACATAGAAAACTATTATTTACAAACTTATTTAGTCTTTTTTTTAAAGTTAGAGTGTGCGTGTGTACGTCCATGTGTGCGTGTGTACGTCCATATACAGTGTATGTGTGTGCGTTGTGTCTGTGCGAGTCCGTGTGTGTCTGCGTCAATGTGTGTGTGTGTGACAGTCGCTGTGTTTGTGTACGTCCATGTGTGTGTGGTGTGTTTAAGTCGATGTGTGTGTGTAAGTCCATGTGTGTGTCGTAGTCGATGTGTGTGTTAAGTCCATATGTGTGTGCGTAGTTCCATGTGCGTGTGAGTCTATGTATATGTGTGTTTAAGTCGATGTGTGTGTGGGTCCATGTGTGTCAGTCAATGTGTGTGTGTACGTCGAAATGTGTGCGTGAGTCCATGTGCGTTTGTAAGTCGTGTGTGTGTAAGTCGATGTGTTTGTGTGTGGGTCGATGTGTGTCAGTCCATGCGTGTGTGACTATGTATGTGTGTGTTTAAGTCCATGTGTGTGTGTGTGAAAGTCAATGTGTGTGTGAGTCGCTGTGTGTCTGTACGTCGATATGTGCGTGTGTAAGTCCATGTGTGATTAGTCGATATGTGTGTGTGTATAAGTCCATATGTTTGTGTGCGTGTAGTTCCATGTGTGAGTCTATATCTGTGTGTGCATCAATGTGTGTAAGTCGATGTGTGTGTGTGTAAGTCCACGTGTGTATCTTAGTCGATGTGTAAGTCCATGTGTGTGCGTAATTCCATGTGCATGTGAGTCTATGTATATGTGTGTTTAAGTCGATGTGTGTGTGTGGGTCCATGTGTGTGTACGTCGATGTGTGCGTGAGTCCATATGCGTTTGTAAGTCGACATGTGTGTGAGTCTATGTATGTGTGTGAGTCGCTGTGTGTGAGTCGATGTGTGTGAGTCGATGTGTGTGTGCGTCAGTCGATATGTGTGTGTCAGTAGATGTGTGTAAGTCCGGCAAAAACAGCCCCATACCTCCTCGTGGTGCCGGACGGCAACGTTGTAGTGGGCAGTGCCGTGGGGGGAGGGCCAATGTAAATTGGTCTTTCCCCTCATGGCGATTTGTAACCACCACTGTGGCCAAGTGGGGGCTCTGGACGCGAGTGAGGGGCTGGTAACCCATCCACCTTCAATTAATTACCACTAAACCACGAATGAAATGTTTAATTAATAAGTTTGTGCCGGAGGCCCCGGGGGGACATGTAGCCCGCATGCCCAGCCACCGCATGCCGAAACAGCTTTTGTTCGGCCGGATCGAGGGCGCTAAACGGGCGCGGCACGGGCTAGAGAAGAGATGGAGTGATGTGGAACAGGAGGCACGGGGCTAGAGAAGAGATGGAGTGATGTGGTACAGGAGGACGTGGAGCTGAGTGGACTTGCCGATGAATGGTACCAGCGGTGTCAAGATCGGCCTCTGTGGAGGAGGCTCGTGAAGGACGCTACTGGGCAGTTGGAGGCAGTCGCCCTCCAACAACAACGGAGGGCGGAGGAGCGACGCTCACAACAACGAGCGGAGCGCCGGGTGGCTAAAGCACAGCAGGTTGGCACAGTAGGGGGCACAGGTGGTGCATCAGCCAGTCATCTCAGTCAGTCGACCCGTGGCACCTGCTGGGTCTGCCCCGTGACCTCCTGCCAGCAGGCGTTCGACACTTCACGTGGCCTCAGGGTGCACATAGCCTGGCACAAGCGTCGTGGTGACGTCACCGCCACTTAGTGGCGAATGGCGGTTGTTGTTGTTTTCGCCCAGGCAACGCCGGGTACTTCCCGCTAATATCTAAATAAACAGGCATCAAAACAACTGGCAAAGATGGCAACAGGACGGGTTCGTTGTCTAAGATTGATATTTATTAGATAAATATTAGGTGGTCACATGGGCTAGTTGCAAGTACAGTACAGTACATGGGTGTGGGAGACTGAGAAACACACGTTAGAGGGCAGGGCACGACACACACACACAAAGTCACACTCGCTCAGACACACGCACACCTTCACACTCGCAGACTTAAGCCTCCTTACAACGCAGTTATGCACACACCCACACACCTTACACTCAGGTACGCGGGCAAGCGCACTCACCCCTGTCCTCACCCACACACGTGCTTGCTACACACACACACAGCCACATTCAAACACACAAAACAGTCATACTCACGTACACAATTACACACACACCGTTGTAGGCTGCACAAGCGCACGCTCAATTATCCTTAAATGCTCCGATTACGCTCCACACGCATTCACTCAGTCACACACACATTTCATTACACTCACGTTTATTTAAAATACACACGCCTAATACTCCCGCTCCCTCGCACTCGGTTACAATTACACATACACAGTCTTCGTGTAAAGCTCGCACGCCTTTAACACTCACACACGCGCGCGCGCACACACACACAATACCACACTTGCCATCTCCGCTATGTAATGCTATGTACGGCTCGAGCGCGCACACACACACACACACACCGACTGACTGGGAGGAGGAGGAGGAGGAGAGGGACACACACACACACAGGTGTGGGTGAAGACGCCACGATGGGTGGACAGAGAGAGAGCCGCGCCATTGGGAAGGAGTCGGGGGACGAGGATCGGTGGGGGCCGCTGAAACGAGACTCGCTGCTTTGGGGTCATTTTTGTACCCCACGGCAGACGACGAACCGGGCGAGGGCGTGGGTCACTCGCGCACGTACACACATAGATCTGGGATCTGAACCTGGCCTGGGGGGGGAGGGGGAGGGTCTCCTTTAGGGTCAACTCAGCCTAAAAATTGGGTTCAACACAGGGAGCCAGGTCCAGCACTGTACGGGGCGGTGGGGGGGGGCAATTCTCATCTCATGGCGTCCCTCTCTGTAGCGCCACGTGTCCACCCGCCCCCCGCTCTTTCTCTCTCGCCGTGTCTCCCAAATATTCCACCCAAAACACGGGCAACGTCGTTTCTTCTGCTCGGTGTCTCCCTAACGTGTGTGTGTGTGTGGTGTTGTGTGGTGTGTATGTTACAGGGCGCGTGTGTCCGACAGGCCACTCCCCCACCCACCTCGAACCTCCCCCACCCCAACACCACCACCCCCTCAATTATTTAAACTTTATCTTCTTTGTGGAACTCGGGGAGGGGGGGGGGGGAATGGGTAAGCTGCCATCGCCATAGAAAACCCAGGCGTGCTGGTGTGTGTGTGTGGACAAACCAACAAGGTCAGGAGAAAGTGGCGGGGGGGGGGGGGGGGGGTGTCTAGGGACTGTTATTTGGTGGTGGTGGGGGGGGTAGATTTATACACCAGAGGGAGAAGGGGGGGGCATGGAGGTTGTCAAACAGGTGGACGGACACGTGCGGTGGTGTTGCTGATGGGAGTAGGAAGAGATGGGGGGGGCAGGGGTGGTGCCGGGTTGGTTACAGGGTCATCACACATGTTTCTGGGGAGGGGGTTCAGTGGGTCACGAACGGGGAGGGGGGGCACAAATTGGGCAGGGGGTGGCCGGGGGGCACTTAGCCACTCGTAACAGCAAAACGTCTGTACAGCTGCCCTTACCAGGAGTAAGACGGGCGCACAACACGCACCCACGCGGACGAAAGGAAACGTTAAGGCGGCTCTGCGCGCACGCCCACGCACACGCCCGCCCACGCACAGGCACGCCCACGCACAGGCACGCCCACGCACGCCCACGCACGCACTACGTGGTTAGTGTGAAGGGGTGGGGGGTGGGGGGGCTACCACGAAAGGACAAACACGACGCATGCAGGGAAGACCTGGGGAGACCAAGGTGGGTGGGGCGAGGGGCCAGGGAGCTGAATCCCATGTCAGGACTCTGGAAGGTGAGGTCTGGAGGTGTGGAGAAGGGGGATGGAGGGGAGGGGGGGTGGTAAGAGAGGAGATATGAGGCATCTGCATGTATTTACATATGACTATCGTTGGGATTTTTTTAAAGTTTTTTTTTTTACTTTTTGTAACCGGGGAGGGGCGGGGGGGGGGGGGTGTCACGTAACGCACGGCACATACTAACAACACGGGGAGTCGGGGGGTTGGGGGTTACACGTAAAAGCCGGGCTAGCTAAATCGGGTGGGCGAGGCCGGACCGCGGGTCGGAGGTCGGAGGTCGTGGGATTTGGGGGTTGAGAGGCCACGGCCCGGTCACACCACAACAACAACAACGACGACGACGACATCATCATCAGCAACGACGACACAAACAGGGCTAGCGACATTACAAAGTTTGCCTTTGGTGAAAAAAAAAAGAACCCCCCCCCCCCTTCCCCCATCTCTCTATTATTTATTACTAAAAAGTTTCTATAAAATAACAAAAAAAAATAAAAACCTTCATTTAGAAGCATCACGAGTTTGGTTTTCAAATTAAATACAACATATACCAAATAAAAACGTAGTTTCATAAAATAACGGGCGCTCAGTGGCAGCGCATGCACCCAATTCATGTGGTTATTGCAGTGTTTGCTGGCGGGAGGGGGTCAGGGGGGAGGGTGGGGGTCGGGGGTTGTGTCCTGGGGGGGAACGAGGGGGGTGCAGACCCTGGCTCGGGGCGGCAGGGAGAGGCTGGAGTCACCCAGACGAGAGGGTGCGGGCCTGGGATTCACTGACGGGAGGGGAAGTGTCCCTCCCCTCTGGTCCCCTTCACAGGGGTCGTCGGGGATCGTGGGATCGACGGAGCAAAGGAGCGAGCGGGGGCAGCACCACCAGACTGCGGCAGCCGGCAGCCACGGGAAGTGAGCGTCGGCCGGAAGGGGGTGCCGGCTGCGGGTGGTGCCGCGCGCCTCGGCTTTGTGCTTTAAGCGAATCCCTTTTTTGTTGCGCCGACATCGCCGGCTCGCGACGGTGACGAGCGAGCGACGAGGACGAGAGAGCCATGGGCACGACGGGGGCTGGGGCACAAGCTGCCGTCCGTCCCCCCCCCACCCTCGTCCCCCCCAACACGCTTCACGTCGAAAATGTCTGCCGCCAGCAAGCGCGGCGTGTGCGTCGTCCCAGTTCCTCTCCCTCTGCCGACCTGTCCAGCCCCGCCATTTCTCCGTCTGCCTCTGTCTTCCCCGTTTCCCTTCCGCTCGCGGTTGCTCCCCTTGTTCTCTGCCTCGCGCCCTCGTTGTGTGGGTGGAGAGGAGACTTGAGCGGCCGCTCTTGTCCACGCGGTGGCCGTTTGTGCTTTACAGAGTCCGCGGAGCGGCCGCTCGGGGGAGTGCGGGAGGATCGTCGAGGCCACTGGGGGCTGACGCTGCTGCTGCTGCTGCGATCCTCGGGTGAGGAGGTGAAGCATTGGTGGTGGTGGGGGGGGGGGGGGGGAAGGGGGCGACGGGTAGGGTTAAGTTCGCAGGGCACAGAGAGTGAGGGAGGGTTCAGGAAGCACAGCCCATCGCGGGGTGCGTGGGTCCTGGCAGCCTCGGCTCGGGAAGACGCAGCGAAGGTGAGAACACGAGCCCACCCCGTGTGCTCCTCTCGTACTATCATGCCGAGCAGGTCGGTCAAGAGTTCCATCCGCGGAGCGAAGGAGTCGCCGTTCCTGGTCACATAATCCCAGCTGTCCAATAAGATTGCAGAGACGCGGTAGTTTGAGCAGGGGTGGCGGGCGGCCGGTTGCGTCACGTGACCGCCAGCCAGAGACGAAAGTCGCGCGGTCACGTGCCGCCCGCCCGGGCTACGTGCCGGCAGTCGGTCCTAGGCCAGTCACGTGATACCGGCCGGTACATCGTTCGCGAGGTCGGACACGGAGCCGATGACGGGGGGGGGGGGGGCGGGTGACGGGGAGGTGGAGAAGGGAGGGGGCTGAGGGCTCATGGTTAAGGGTTGGGGGTCGGGAGATGGACAGAAGTGGGCGGGCTCGCTCAGCTGTTCTCGAAGAGAGACAGCAAGTCGTCGTTGCTGTTGTTCGGGAGGTCCGAGGGGTCAAGGTATGATAGCAGCTCATCGGGATTGGTCAAGTCCGGCAACAGCTGCGCGCACACAGACAAGCATATTGCAACCAGAACGTTAACAAAGTCTGCTGTCAATGTTGAAACATTTTACATTTCTATTGCCTCCAAAGTCAATAAAGTTCGCACCACTTCCAAGGAGGTAAAAAAATGGAATGTGGAATTTACACTACAGCTCAAAACTAGAAACATCGAAACAGGCACTCCTGCACACGCATTTGTGTGAAACCAAGTTTCCCTTGCAGAAGAAGGTCTCTCAATGGGTTGAATTGATATCCTGGTCAAATAAATGATACAACATTTCAGCAAGAAACCACTCCGACGTTTGAACCATATTTTACCTCTGACATCGGCGCTTACATCAAGAAAACGAAACGTCCTTCTGGAGCTCTAACAGCGAGCAGTGGAACATCGCATCTTGCCAAAGAATAATCCCAAACTACGATGTCAAATGCTTCATCATTTTCCTTCAACACTTATTCCTCACCTAACACTGAAGGGCACCTGTGCTTTATGCACGATAACTGTGGTGACCAGGTTGTCATGTAAACTCGCTAAAATAAACGAATAAATAAATACAGCAATTTGTAACTCGCTGCACAGGCTTTGTTGTAGAAGAAGACGCAGGAAACCACAGACAAGCGGGAAAGCAGCCATAACCGCCGCCAAAAATTGGACAAGCTTTGTGGTCCTATATTGGGTTGTTTGGCCAACTCCATGAATTCTCACTCATTGAAGAAACCGAAATATCCAGTGAAATCCTCGTAAAGACGGAATGCAGATGTAAATAACCCCACTTGCTATACTGCCATACCCCGAGACGTCAGGAGATGGCAACCTCGCACCGCAGCGGGTTTGGGTATTTCACAAACGTGTGTGATCCACTAACACTCGCTGCCGCCTTCTTGTAGGCTTGCACCACCGCCACCCGGCTACGCTTGGGAACACTGGAATCGCTGGCTTCAAATAACGGAGCTCAGCGGTTCCGGCTCGGCATCACCGACAAAGATTATTATGAATGACCCTAAGCAAGAGATTAAGCCTCAAAGCCTGAACTTCGCCTAGGTCTGAACGGTGTTAGGTCGTCTCTGACACGATTGTTATTAATCTTACTGCCCCATTTCGGCCACCTCTCATTTGGTTTCGGAAGAGTCGGGGGATAGGGAGAGTGACGGAGATAGTGGCACTCACATCCAACGATGGTTCTGGGACCTCTGGGGTTCCACCTCCACCACCCGGCCCGTCCAGACCTGGGTTGAAACCCAGCTCAGGTGGGGGCGCCGACTGGGGTTGCTGTTGTGGCCCACCATGGTGCAGGCCGCCCCCCTGCCCGCCGCCGTGCATGCCATGTTGCTGCTGTTGTTGCTGTTGCTGCTGCTGCTGCTGCTGTTGTTGCTGCTGCTGTTGTTGTTGCTGCTGCTGTTGCTGCTGCTGCTGGTGTTGTTGTTGCTGGTGCTGCTGCTGTTGTTGCTGGTGATGCTGATGGTGCTGTCCTCCCATTGGTGGGCCCTGACCCGGCTGCATTGCATTGTGGGGCTGCTCAGGGCCATGTGGATGTGAGTGAGACATCTGGGAGGGGGGTAGGAGACGAAGATGGAGAATGCGCACACACACATGCACAGACATACAGGGGGACGCACAGACATTCATAGTTGAGGATAGTGAATCGGATAGTGTGCGGGATAGTTTTGGTTTTACACTACAAAGGTAAAGAGTCTGTGTTCAATTTTGTGTCAGGATAAAGAGTAACATTTGGCAGTGGGTTTAAATCCGGTTGCAGGGTTAGGATAACATTTTGGGTTCGGGATAGTGTTGAGACTAGTGTTAGTGATGGCGTTGGTGACAGTGTTAGGGATAGTATTACAGATAGTGTGCAGGTCAGGGTTAGTGATAGTATTGGGGTGAGTGTTGTTGGGGCTGGAGGGGCCCACCTGCTCGGGAATTCCATCAGGCGGGTGCGAGAGTTGGGGGCCGCTCATGAAGTCGTTGAGGGCCGGTGCTGCCGAAGAACCTTGCGGGAACTCTCCAAAACCGCCCTGGGCAGCGTAGCTGTTGCCTGCATGGTGGTGCGACGCAGATATACAGTTAGTGAGTGGATGGGTCAACAGGTAAGTGGACGGATAGATGGGTGGATGAGTGAACTGGTGGGCAGCTGAGAGGATGGGTGGATGGGTGTATGGGTGGGTGAGCGTTTGGGCGAGTGGATGGTAGGGTGAGAGTTGGTTGGTACGTGGTTGGGTGGCGAGTTGGTGGGCAAGTAGACAAATGAGATCGTGTATATGGGTAGTCGGAGAGTCATGCGGGTAGGTTAGACAGGTTGGTAAACATGTGCGCAGGCAGGCAGGTAGAGGGGTCTGCAGGCGCGTGGGCGCGGTGAATGCACGGGCGGGTTACGCGCCACAGACGGCATCGCGGGCCGGCGCGCCGGGCGAGCGCGCACGCAGGCGAGCCGGCCAAGCGACTAGGCGGGTGAGCCCGAGTGGCTGCGTGCGTGCGCCCACCCTGGTGAGTGTACTCGGAGGGGTATCCGGCGGGGCCTAGCGCGGCGATGGTCTCCAGGACGTTGGGCAGCGCCGTCTGGCTGGGGCTGGTCGGCTTGAAGCGCTTGGCGAGCGGCCCGTCGGGGTCCTCCTTCACGTGCACGTCCGACTTGATGGGCACGGCGCGCCAGCTGCACGTCGGGTCGATGGTCACCTCCTCGACCTCCGTGCTGCAGGGGGACGTGCGGGCACGAGGGGGGACGCGGGACAACGAAGTGAGAATGTGGGCCAACTTGAGCGCAGATCCGAAATGAATGCGATGTTTTTTTTTGTGCAGTCATTGGGGACCAGGCCGAGACCGTCAGCTCACAGCACTTGAGAGCCTGGTGTGTGAGTCTCTATGCGAGTCTACAGGTGTCTAAGTAAGTAATTTGTTTTTTTTGGGTCTCTCTGAGAGTCACTGGTGACCAGGCTGAGGACACAACAACTCACCACGCTTGAGAACCCGGAGTTAACCGCGGTGAATCTCGGCGTCTCTGACCTCCGGAGCCACCCGGCCACCTTCAGCATGGTGCGCTACAAACCCGGCGACCCAAGTTCGATTCCCGCTCATGGCCAACACCAGCGACGATTATATTAACCCGTCCTGGGCCTCCCCTAGGTTGACTCAGCCTCAAATGAGTACCTGGTGCGGTGTGTAAACATCGCCACTGGGGAGACAAAGGCGGCCGGGCGTGGTGTTGACCACCCAACCCATCGTGTGCCGTGCCGGCCTTCGTAGGTGCTGCCCGCTAACAGCACTTGCCCCAACAGTCTGTTACAGGCTACACGGGGGATCTTTGTGTGTACGTGCGTGAGAAGAGCGCTCACTTGCGGATGGCGTCCAGGATGCCCCACATGTACTGATCCACCTCCAGGCCCTCCAGCAGCGCCGTTTTACTGCGAGCACAGATCACGACGGCACGGAGTTAAATGTAAAACGGTGTTTGCGATAGAATGACGCTTGGTTAGTCTCTGATAATGTATTTAACAACCTCAGATGGCGATGTTGGTTGTTATATATATATATTTTTTATTATCACGATGGGTATTTTACCCAGGAAAGCCTCACACGGAGTCTCAGGAGGGTCCTGCCACCTTTTCACACGAGAGGACGATGTTGCCGTGTGTCATCTCGATTGAGTAAGCAGAAGGTACTTTTTCAGCACTGGGTGTTATATTGTGCGAATTGTTTTTAGCTTTGGAAGGAAACCGAGAGAGGCTATATATGGGGGGGGGGGGGGGGGGGGGGGGACGCCTGTCTTTGTGTGCGAGTCTTACTTGCACACGGGGCAGCGCCAAGTGCCACGCTCGCAGTTCAGCTGCAGATAGGACTCGAGGTCGAAGCACTGACGGGGGAAAACGCAGACGCCAACACACGTGAGTACATGACGCCGCGCACCAACACGCCCCAACGCACGTTCACGTTCCACACTACGTTCTTCAGTTACGCAGTCGTTCGCCCCACTTGGGACACCTGCCTCAGCGTCTCGTGCTTGCCCCAAGGTATTGCAGCAGCAGGGGGCGTTTCTCGACGGTTCGACCGCAGGCCAACCAGTTCTCATAGAGACGGCGCACACTTTCGCGCGAGCCGCCGCGCGATTTTTTTGACACCGCGCTCGCCACGCGCCTTCTCGTACTCCGGCGCGCGCTTCCGCACCGGCACGACGAACCTGCACGTGCTTGCAGTCCTGTCCCCGCGCGGGTAGCGTGATCCTGCGGAAGGTGATGGGGCACTTGAGCGACACCTTGATGGCCGTCTGCTCCACGCCGTCCTCTCCGTTGAGGCCGCTCCCCGACGACACGGCCACTGATGAGAAGTTACGTTTTACTGCACGCCGTGCACACGCACGCACACGAGCACACACACACACATGTAGCCATACAGATGCGCACAGGTGGCCCCCTTGTAGCCTTTAACAGACCGTTGTTGGGGGGGGGGGGGAGGCAAGTGCCATTAGCAAGCACGTGCTACAAAGGCCTGCAGGATGTGGCGTGGCCAAAGCACAACCCCCTGGGCTGCCTTTTGTCTCCCCAGTACAGTACCGATGTTAAGATTGCTGCGCCAGGTATTCTTTTTTAAGTCAAAACAAACACAGGGGAGAGGCCCAGGACCGGCTCTCACCACTGATGTCAGCCGTGGCTGGGAATCCAACTGGGTGTGTTAACCAGCAGTGCGTGAACCACTAGGCCACTGCTCACCCAAGTTATAGATATACACACATGGGGGCACAAACACAGACGTATACATTGATGTGCGCGCACACACATACGCAGACACACACAAATGCACTCAGGCCTATCTTAGAGTACCGTGCATGTCCCATGAATGGGTAATGGTGCTGTGCAATGTGACTAGATGTATAATGCAGTACATATCAGTGCGGGTCATTTCAAAGTGCAATGCAGCTCAGCGAGTGATGGATAAGTGCGTGGGTCATTTGCGTGGTGCAGTGTAGGTCGGTGTGTGTAGGTCAGTGTAGTGCAGTGTGGGTCAGTGCGGGTCACTCCATATGGTACATTACGAATCAGTGCGTGTTAGTGTGGGTCACTGTGCGGTGCAGTGCGGATCGCAGCGTAAGGTCACAGCGTGGGTTGCTGCTGCAACTTCGTGGTACCCTGAGGAATCGGCGTGGGCCAGTGTGCTGAAGTGCAGGTCACGCCGTGGTGCAGTATAAATCAGTGCGGGTCAGCGTGGTGCAGTGCAGGTCAGAGCGGGTCACTCTGCGGTGCAGTACACATCAGGGCAGGTCACTGCGTGGGTCAGTGTGGGACTCACTCTTGGTTATGCAGTGCTCGGCGGGCAGGAGGCGCTTCTTGAGCAGCCCCTGCAGCACGGAGCGAACCGTGGGGCGGTGCACCAGTTGCAGCACGAACAGGTGTGACTGCAGGACACGCACACAGACAGACACAAACATTTTTTTAGTCAAAGCTTTCGTGACTGCAGTAATTCATATTCTTAGCTCTTTCGGTAAAGTCACGTTGAAGGGAAACAATTAAATAATAAAATATATAAAACAATTACAATTCTCACGACGTTTCCACCATAACACAAACGGTCGTCATCAGGTGTGAAAAAACCACACACCTGATGACGACCGTTTGTGTTATGGTCGAAACGTCGTGAGAATTTTTATTGTTTTATGTAGATTTTATTATTTTATTGTTTCCCTTCAACGTGACTTTACCGAAAGAGCTAAGAATATGAGACACAAACATCTCTCGAGCAGCTGCAGCACACACACACATGCACGCGTCTCTCTTAGCAGACTGCAACACGCACACACGTCTCTCTAACAGACTGTTGGACTGTTGGACAAGTACGGTTAACGAGCACCTATTAAAGGTCAGCACGGCGCACGAAGGCACAGGGTGGCAAGCAGCATTCCTGGATTTCTTTGTTTCCCCAGTGCTTATGGTTTCACACATCGCACCAGGTACTCGATTAAGGCTGGGTCGACCCAAAGGAGGCCCGGGATCGGTTATGATATAACTCGCCAATGGTGTCAGCCGTGGCCTGGAATCAAACTCAAGATGCCTAATTTGTAGTGCGGTACGCCAACCACCGTGCCACCACTCACCACTATACAGACACACACACACACGGTTAGCAAAGCCGGGAGTCACAAACATGAACCCAGCCACCTGTGTGCACACTCGGCACCAGGCGCTCTTCCGATGCCACACGAAGGATGGAGACCGTCATGATCGAGACGCGCCTGCGTCTATTGCTAGACGCTCGCTCACGTGACTGCGAGTGCGAGGAGCGAGTGTGGTGCGAGTGCGAGGAGCGAGTGTGAGTGTGGGGTGCGAGTGTGGGGTGCGAGTGTGGGGTGCGAGTGTGAGTGCGGGGTGCGATTGTGAAGCGCGAGTGTGGGGTGCGATTAAGGGGTGCAAGTGTGAGTGTGGAGTGCGAGGTGTGAGGTGTGGAGCACGCGTTCGCTCGCGCACGTGCGAGTGTGTCGCATGATTGTGCATGCGGAGCACGTGTCTGCGAGTGCGAGCGCGTTTGCGTGTTGCGAGTGCGGCGAGCGCGACTCACGCAGCAGCAGGCCGTCACAGTGATCTGGATGGTGTTGCGGCCGGGCTGGCACACGTGCTTGAGGTGCAGCGGCTTGTGCGACGTCTTGTTCTCCCCGCGCTCGATGTTGAGCGGCGTCGCGTTCACGCTCACTTGCACGGACGCCGGCCAGTTTGTGTGCATCTGCCGGTCCTCGTGGTGGTAGCACTTGAACTGAAGCTCCAGGTCCGGCCTGAACGGGCCGCGGGGAGGAGGGAGGCACCGCACAACAGGAGCGAGGTTCAGGTTTAGTTAAGGACTAGGGTTAGAACTAGGGCTAGGGTTAGTGCTAGGATTAGGGATAGGGTAAGGACGAGGGCCAAGTTAGTCTTAGATATGGGCCATGGATTTGCTTTGAGGTCAGGCTTTTAAGGCTAACAGGAAGCTGTGGGTCTGGACGAGGGTCTGGATCAGGAAAAGGTTCTGGGTCAGGCTAGGGGCTTAGCTTTACTTAGGGTCAAGGTGAAGGCTAAGGTTCTGGGATTCGGATCGAGGTTTGAGCGACCGTGGTAAGGGCACGTGGAGGTGGACGCCGCAGCCGCGTGAAGTGCGGCGTCTCCCGCAACGCGAGTGGAGTTGCACGAACGTGCGGCAAAGCGTGTGACTTGGGATGGGCCGAGTGCAGAGTGCACGGTGTAGAGCGTGCAGTGGTGGGGTGTGCGGAATTCTGGGTCACCTCCACATGAGAGTCTGATGCACGGACTGGCGCAGGTGGAACACGTGGTTGGACACGGCGAGGTTGTGCTCCAGGCGGAACGGCTCCAGCACGATTCCGTCCCTCACCGGGAACGTGAGACGCAGTTCATCCCCGGGGTTCCCTGGACATGGGGGGGGGGGGGGGGGGGTTGCAGGGAGGGGCGGGGTGGGGTCAGCCACGCACACGCGCACAGCCACGTGCAACGAGATGGGCGACGCGCAGATTAGGTTCCATCACAACACATCCATCTATCTGGCACAACTATGAGACGACTTCACATCCAGTTTGGAATTCTCACAATAGTTGCCAATCTATAAATCTCATCAAGTATGCATGTGTGACGTGTGTCTGCATGTGTGCGTACGTGTCCCACGTGTCCTTGTGTGTGAGACCATGGGTGTTCGTCAACGTGTAGGAGTCGGTGTCCACATGCCTGTGTGCACGCGTGTGTGTCCAAAAATGTATTGAGGCTATGCGGGTGACCTTTGTCTTTGTGTGTCCATGTGTGTGTGGATCAAGAGTACACGTGTCCAGGTGCAATTATCGTTATCCGTGTTTCCGCGAGTGTGTTTGAACCCGTGTGTGTGCGTCTGTGCGTGTAGACACCCGTGTTTTTGTGCGTGTGATGACTGATCTCGGTCAACCAATGGCACCTGGGTCTGTCCCCTGACCTCCTGCCAGCGGACGTTCGACACTTCACGTGGCCTTAAAGTGCACTTAGCCTGGCACAAGCGCCCTGGTGACTTCACCGCCACTTAGTGGCGAATGGCGATTGTTGTTTTTGTTGTGCGTGTGCGCCTACGCGTGCGTGCGTGCGTGCGTCGCCGTTCCTCTCGCCGTCGTGTGATCGGCACTCACCTGTCGGGGGGACCAGACCCAGCTTGACGTCGGGGGGGTACGGCGGTTTCACGTCGGGTGGGTAGTGGGGCTTCACGTCCTGGCTCGGGGACAGGTACGGCGGCACGTGGCTCCCCGGGGTCACCGGCGGGGTCGGGTTCCCGGGGATCGGGGAGTGGGGGTAACCGGGCATCCCCCTCGCCTGCACCATGCGCACACACACACACACAAAAGATCCGCCGTATTTGCTTTAACCAACTGTTGGGTCGAGAGCTGTTTGCGAGCACCAATGAAAGGCGGCACGGAGCAAGTTGGGGGTGGGCGCGGGGGAGTGGTGGGCACAGCACCACGCCCAGCTGCCTTTTGTCTCCAGAGTGTTCATGTTTCTACACATCGCAGTAGGTACAAATTTAAGGCTGAATCGACCTAGCGGAGGGCCAGGACTGGTTCTGAGGGCCTTGAGCTTAGACTTGAACAGAGGCAGGGAGTCGATAGCACAGACGGTTGGGGGAGCAGAGGGGAATGAGCGACCTACTCGGTGAAGGTTTACTTGTGGACTTGGATGTTGGAGTGCAAAGTGTGTGGAGAGAAGTGAGATGAGGGGGAAGTTGTAGGCAAGGGCGAGTCCATGGAGGATCGTGGTGCATGCCACGCGTGTGTGGAGACGTACCCCAGGGTACGCTTGCTGTCCATAGCCATAGCTGCCCGCAGGGAAGCTGGAGTTCTGGGTGCTGTACTGATCCTGAGGCTGCGCACACACACGCGCACACAACGACCATGGACACCATCCTATGAGCATGGTTAAAAGCACGCAGTTAGCGAGCCGGCACGTGACACTGGGCATAATACTGTTGCGATTATTCTCGGCCCTCTTTGTCTTCCCAGCGCCAATGTTGATCACGTACAGTGCCAGATCGTGAATTATGCCCGAGTCAACCTTGGGGAGGTCCTGAATGTGATCGTGCCATTGTGAGGTTACTCCACTGCCATTCATTGCCTTGTATACGAGTGAGGCCACTGTGATATCAACAGATTGCCGTAAGGATGCCTTGGCTGTAACTTTGAAGTCCTCACTTTCTCATGAACATCGTTTTAGAGCTTGCGTCGGGACAGTCCAGGACAGCCAGCCTAAGTGCTTCGCATTAAAGATGGGCGCGTGACAATGCTATCAACAACACTGCCAAAACTGTGCAAATGAGACGAAAAACACGCAAACCAATGCAAACGAGATGGTAAAAATCAAGACACAAAATAAATTATTCTGGAATCGGTGCGCCACCTCTTGTTACAACTCATCAAAACGCTCGTTATGCCCGAAGCGGTGGTGAGGTCACGTCGCCGCGGCATGTGTGCCAGGCTAGGTTCACTCCGAGCAGGACGATCGACGTCTTAAATGAGAATCAAGAATCTTTATTTAGACTGGAAGAAATCCGGAGAGCTACAGCTCTTCTTTCACAGATGTCCGGTAGGTTCACAGATGTCCGGTAAGTTCACAGATGCCACCAGGCCGCATACAAGCAGAGCGACCGTCAGGGGTGACCCACGTACCTTGTAGTACTGGCTCATGCTGGGGTTGGGATACTGGCCCATGGCCGGGTTGGGCGGGTACTGCCCGCCCGGTTGCCCGGGCAGCCGCTGCCCGGGGTAGACCGGGGAGGCCAGGGTTCGCTGAGGGGCCGCTTGCGGGAACTGACCCCCTTGGGCTCCTCCATACTGAGGACCTCCACCAGGATACTGGGGCCCATAGCCCTAGACACACACACAGACACACATATGCATATGTTAGCAAAGACAAAAGATCCCAGTATAGCCGACCGCAGGCTGCTTAGGGCAAGTGCTTCGAGCGAGCACTTAGAAAAGCCGGCACACAAGGAGGTGGGTGGCCAACACCGCACCTGGGTGCTTTTATCTCCCCGGTGTTCATGTTTGCACACCACACCAGGTAGTTATTTAAGGCAGAGTCAACCAACAGGGAGCCCAGTGTTCCGTTGAACGAAACACGTTAAGTATAAATTTTACCCCCCATTTAATTATTTTAAGCGGCGCGATTTAAGATCGCTGTTCACTTCGGGACGTTTTTACAACGAGACGCAGGACCCGCTTGAGAGGTCACTGCTCGCCGCTGGTAGCCGTGGTCGGGGATCGAAACCCGATCGCCGGGTCCGTCCCGCGGTGAGATAACCGCTATGCCACCGCTCCCCCCATGTACAACCAACGACACCACACTCTGCACGCGCACGTGTGCACCACGAGGAGGCCACTGCCAGTTTAGTTCTGTATTTATAGCAGTAGATTTGTGTCTCGAGGGATTTTCTACAGCTTTCTGCCGCGATGGTTATTATTAAAGCCCAGGCCCACCAGCGCCTGCTATTTGCGTCTCGCATCTCATTTATTTATAGCCACCTGTTGGCTTGTTTAGCCGGCCTATTTCTGCTTGAGCCACTACAAGTTGGTCAAGCCCGTCCCACGACTGAGCCTCCGTTTGGCCATGCGGAGGGCGCCCCCCTTTAGGGGCTGCGCGTGTCCAAGGGCAAAAAACGCAACTCCGTCTTCTCCTGTGTCTCCCGTCATCCGCATGAACCTCATGGCATTCAGCCCCCCCCCCCCCCTAATACCATGTCCCTCCACCGGCCCACAGACCCTCTATGATTCATCATAACCCACCCCCCCCCCCCCAATTCTCCTATGCCCACAATGCCACATTTAATTGGCCTCCGTTGCCAAGTACCCCCCACCCCGCACGTGCCCCACACACTGTGCCTACCCCCCCCGCCCCTCCCCTCCCAATCCTCACCTCTCCCGGATAGGCGCGCTTCATTCCCATCTGCGGGCCGACGCGCTGTGCGCCGTGCCCGGGGGGGTACCCGCCCCCCGCCTGCTGCCCCATGCGCTGCCCCGGCGGCGCCGGGTACAGGGGGCCCAGGCCCGGAGGCCGCGACATGCCCTGGGGGTTCATGGGGCCCGACATGCCGGGCCCCCCGCGTGGCCCCGGCTGGCTCAGGAACTGGTTCTGGTAGGGTTGCCCGGGGCCCATCTGGAAAGAGGAGCAAACCTGTAGGGGGTGGGGCACAAAGGTGGTGGTGGGGGGGGGGGGGGCACACCAAAGCGAAGGGGGGAGTCGATATGAGACGCGTGGAAGAGAAAGTGTACCCGCAAGAGCAATTGTAGGTCAATGCTACTGCAGTGGTACAGGCTATGCCACAATGGTGAACACAGTAAAAGCTTGGATTGCGAGCATAATTCGTTCCGGAAACGTGTTTGTAATCCAAAGCACTCGTATATCAAAGCACTCGTATATCAGTTGTGATCACGTGACGCTCGGCAGACAAAGCGTACACGTACACTGCTCGTATTGCAAGACATCGCTCGTTTATCAAATTAATATTTATTTAAAATTTTTGCTCGACTTGCAAAACACTCGCAGACCAAGTTACTCGCAATCCAAGGTTTTACTGTACAATTAAGTGGTATGCCCTAAGCCAATCCTGTGATTGCAGTGGTACAGGCTGCACTGCACTACCGTAGTGAACACAGTGGTACGTTCCAAGCCAAATTCTGTGAACGTAGTGGTACAGGCCATACTGCACTAGTGAGCACAGTGGTACGCTCCAAGCCACCCCTCCGAATGTCGTGGTACAGGCTATGCTGCACTAGAGTAGAGAGTGGTATGCTCCAAGCTCCCCTATAAATATAACTCAACACATTTGTCTATAATAACATGTCATGTGCTATGAAGAAGGGCCATTGACCGAAGAGTGACTAATTGTATATTTTTACTTTCAAGACCACCGTTTTTTTTTTTTTACGAATGCGTTCAGTTAATTATTTGTGCTTGTGCAGTATCACCAAAATTATCAGATTACGTCTGAATCTAGTGGTACAGACTATGCTGTACTAGTAAATACAACACAGTGGTACGCTGCAAGCCACTGCTGTGAATGCAGTGGGGTACATTCCTTGTCCCCCACACCCAACCACTGCAGTACACATTTGTGTGTGAGCATACATGCAAACAGACGTGCGCACACGCAGACTGTGCAGTACTGACCCTACACCCCCCGTGATCGTAGTGGTATGTTCCGTGTGCCACCCCCTCGGGTTCAATGGTACGCACCGCTCCGTACTGGCCCATCTCTTGGTTTTGTTTCTCCTGGAGGGCGGCAACAGTTGCCGTGGCGGTGGCTGTTGCCGTGGCAGCCGCCGCGGCAACAGCAGCGGCAGCAGCAGCTGCTGCGGGCTGAGGAAAGCTACCGCGTGGTTGAGAGCTGCTCACACACATCATCACCAACATCATCATCAACATTCATCATCTCTATTCATCACCAATATTAACATCACTATAATCATCACCACCAACACCAACCTCTTCAACATCACCATTGCTAATATCACCATCATTATCTTCACACGAATCATCATCATCATCACCACTATCATAACTATAATCCAACATCACCATCACCGCTAACGTCACCAATCATATGACCACCACCAACACTGTCACCAACACTGATCATCATCACCATTTTCATCACAACCGCCTCCAACACACCTCTGTCATCACCTTCACCGCAAGCATCGTTATCACAAACTCGCCGTGATCACCACCACGGCCAAAGTCGGTCACCACTGTTGTCATAGTAACTCGATGTCCTCGGCACTCGACTCCCATCCCCCCACCTCTGACCCCGTTACCCCTGAGGCGGACATCCGCGAGAGGGATAACCGCGTCCCCCTCTGACCCCGTGCGCCCTCCTCACCTGCCAGGGTATCCGGCCCCCGCCCCGGGGTAACCGCCGCGGCCGTACATCCCCTGCTGAATGTACATCTTGCCAGCGTTGCCTCCGCCGCCCTGGAAGGGTTGCTGCTGATTGGAGAACTGGGGCGACGTCATGCCGGGGTTGTTGCCTGGCAGCCCCGGATTGTTGGACATGGGGTTTCCCAGAACCTGTAAAGCAGGCGATCGGGGCGATGGGGGGGGGGGCGCATATGCACACGCGCGTTTGAAAAACGAGCGGGCGATTAATTCGTGAAGACGGTCGTTTGTCTGTTTGTCCGGAAATCCTCGAGACTGGTTTTCAGGAGGGTCCCTGCCTGTTTGCGTTTGTAAACTTACTCGCTGCCGAGGGCAAGGCCGAACCGCACGGTTGCGTGCGCAGCGAGCGACTTAAACCAGTGACATCGTTAAACCCAGTTACACAGTAAAACCCAAAGCTAAACCTGGTCAAAGTTAAGCTATGTTAGTTGCAAATGCAAAGTTCAAACCAGTTGTAAGCACACACACACACACACACGCGCGCGAGCATGCGCACACATGCAAAGTCCCCCTATATGGCCTTTAACAGACTGTTGGGGCAAGCCCTGTTAGCGAGCACCTATGAAGGCCGGCATGGCACATGAGGGCCCTGCTGCCTTTGTCTCCCCAGCCGAGTCAAACCTAGGGGAGGCCCAGGACCAGTTCAGATATTCACTGCGCTATGGACTCGGCGAGCGGTTTTGGACCTCGGGCCGCTGGGTTCGTAGCGCAGTGCATCAACTGCGCCACCGTTCCCCACGGCACATCGATGCCACCCTCCTCGTGCCCCCCCCCCCCCCTGCCCCCCACCCCTTCCACACACGCACACACACACCCTAGAGTCGGATCAAGAACAGGGGAGGGAGGCGCAATTATCCCCACTGCCCCCCCTCTTAGTCCCGCCGCTGATGCACACACACGCACTTGCGTGCACAGACACGCACGCTCGCTCGCTCGCTCGCGCGGTCAAACGTGTCCACTCTGCAGGCACGCGCGTTGATTTCACGGAGCCAAATTAGTCGTCAACCGGCGCTAATTTAAATTTTCGCTCCAATTTTCCCACTAATTACACGTTTTTAATTCTTAGCGCAAATTTAGTTTGAGTTGACTTCATTTTACCGCGCACGCGCGCCACCAAACGAGACGGCTCCCGCTGCTGGTGTTGAGCATCAAGAGGTGCGACGCTGCGTGGGGGGCTCGTGAACGCGAGTGGGGGTTCGGGTGGGGGGGGGGGGGGGGGGGGGGCCCTGATGAAGATGATGATCATCATCAAAACAATGAAAGAGTCAAGAACCCCGGTGATGTCACGTCAACGGCGAAGGTGTCGCCGCCCTCGAGTGAGTTAATTCTCAGGTGGCGGTCTTGATCCTGTGATGATAATTCCACATTACTGTGGTTGGGGCCAGTCTATCCACAAGACAACCGCCGTTCACGCATTACCGACACATGATCTCAAGGCCTTCTAACCCGAGTCAGTATGGTCCCGCGGTGGTGCACATTTGTCAATAACACTGTGGCCTGAATACAAAATATTAAATGGGCGACGTTCTATATACTTTTCACACGGGCCAAAGAGGCCTCTCTCTTGTGTGTGCTGTGCGAGAGACGAAAGGCCTCCGTCCCACGTGCTCCGTACAAGGGCCGTTGCCCGAAACACGTTGCCAACTCTGTAAATTTTGCTTACTAGGCAATGCAAGTCGCTGTATTGTCACGGGCCGCGCCGTGTTGTTGTTTGGCATGCGTCGCGTACACGCCGTGGCGTCCCTTGTGTTACACGTGTTTCGTCGGATTAATCGCTGCGCGCCGGCACGCACCCGCTTGTGTCCTCTGCGTGCCCTGGGTCTCCCTCGTGAAAGACGTGCGGATCACAGTGGGGCTCTCTCTTTCTCGCGCGGTTAAATAAAGAACTCCGTCTGTCTAAACACTGCCTGCGAGGCGTATCACAGTTGGAGGTCGGCGGAGAGTCGAGTTCGGGAACGAACGTCACGAGTTCATCCTCTGTACCGCCCACCAACAGCCTTGGCTAAGGACAGATGATCGTGTGAACATTGGCGGCCTTAATAGGCACTTGCCAACAGCATTTTCAACAACAGTCTGGGGGATCTATATCTTTGTACACATTTCTCGTGCATGTGTACGTATGTGCCGGGAGAGGTAGTGTAGCGGTTAGCATGCTGCGCGACCCGAGTTCGATTTCCGCTCACAACCAATAACAGTGGCGAATATTTGAACCGTTCCTGGGCCTCCCTTAGGTTGACTCAGCCTTAATTGAGGCAGTATAATTGGGGAGACAAAGGCGGCCAGGCGTGATATTGGCCACCCACCCCCTGGTGTGTCGTTTTTCCGAACTTCTTAGTTGCTCGCAAACAGCATTTGCCCCAAAAACGTGTTGAGGCTATACGGGGGATCTTCATCTTTGTATCCATTTGTACGTGTGTGTGCATAAGCATGTGTGTACGGGTGGGGTACATGTGTGTGTGTGGTGTTGTGTTATTTATCAGTTTAGTTTAGTATTTTTTTATAGTTTAGTATTGCTCAACCACGTTATGTATGCTGATGATTTGGTAATAGCTGCTCAGTCAGAGGAGGAGTTGGAGACGCTGCTGCTGAGACTGGAGCGTGCCACTAAGAGGTGGGGCCTTACCATCAGCCCCACCAAAACTAAGCACCTGCCTGGGTATTTTGTACCATCGGACACTCCACCCCCACAACTCCCAATCGGTGATGGGGCAGGTGTGGAGAGAGTGGAGAGTTTCCCATACCTGGGCAGTGTGCTTATGACTGGCTCCAGTTTAACAGCAGAGGTCTCACTCCGAATCAGTCGAGCGGCAATATCTTTTCATCGGTTGCGTAACGCTGTGTGGAAGCTAATGGAACATCTTCGCCGGTTAGAAACATTTAGGCTGGCCTGCCTACGATCCATCCTGGGTTTAACCAGACTGGATTGTGTGAGGAGCTCACAAATCCTTGAAAGATCTGGGCAAGGTCCCATCGGTGAGCTCCTCCGGCGGGCAAGGCTGCCATGGCTGGGTCATGTAGCCCGCATGCCCAGCCAACGCATGCCGAAACAGCTTTTGTTCGGCCGGATTGAGGGGGCTAAGCGGGCGCGGCACGGGCTAGAGAAGAGATGGAGTGATGTGGTACAGGAGGACGTGGAGCTGAGTGGACTTGCCAATGACTGGTACCAGCGGTGTCAAGATCGGCCTCTGTGGAGGAGGCTCGTGAAGGATGCTACTGGGCAGTTGGAGGTAGTCGCCCTCCAACAACAACGGAGGGCGGAGGAGCGACGCTCACAACAACGAGCGGAGCGCCGGGTGGCTAAAGAACAGCAGGTTGGCACAGTAGGGGGCACAGGTGGTGCATCAGCCAGTCATCTCAGTCAGTGGACCCGTGGCACCTGGGTCTGCCCCGTGACCTCCTGCCAGCGGGCGTTCGACACTTCACGTGGCCTCAGGGTGCACATAGCCTGGCACAAGCGTCGTGGTGACATCACCGCCACTTAGTGGCGAATGGCGATTGTTGTTGTTATTTATCACACTGCACGACGGACCTTCGGTGACCTTGCTGTAAAAGTTGTATCTGACCTGTCCTAGACTCCCCTAGGTTGACTCAGCACCTGGTGCTGTGTGTGAACATCAGCAGTGAAGCGACAAAGGCTTTAGGGAGTCGAGCTGGCCATACCACACCCCTGTGTGCAGCGATGGCTTAATAACATTACTCATCCCAAAAGTTAAATCGGGAGTTGTTTTGTCTTTTGTGTGCATAAATGGTCAACTCTGCCTTAAATGAGCGCCTGGTATGGTGTTGTAAACAGTATAATTGGGGAGACAAAGGTGGCTTGGCATAGTACTGGCTACCCACTTAGTCTTTTGTGCACGTATGGCTGAGTGAATGTGTACGTGTGTGTCTTTGTGCGCGCTCATTGACTTGTGTGTGTGTGTGTGCACGCGTACATGCATATTCGAGCATGTGTCTGTGCGTGTGTGTGTGTCCGTTGCCTATCGCTGCGGCTAAAAATACGCGCGTGACTCTGCGCAGTGATAGCCGTGGGCGCAGAGCACCGAATGGAAATTCTGAACTTGGCCTCGGTCGCTCCTGACGCACGTGGGCAGAGTGCGTAGGACACGGCTGGCACGTGTCCCGTGTCCGCGCGGGTGCGTGCGGTGAGTCGCGGTGGCGCGGTGCTCGGCCTGCTGCTCTACGAACCTGGCGACCCGAGTTCGATTCTCGCTTACGGCCAACGTCAAGCGAAGAACATCTGAACCGGTCCGGAGCCTCCCCAAAGTCCCTATGTCGACTCAGCCTTACATGACCGCCTGGTGGCAGTGTGTAGCAAATGTCAGCACTGGGGAGACAAAGGCGGCCGGGCACGATGCTGGCCACACCACCCCCTCGTGCGCCGTGTTGTTGTTGTTCACTGGCGCTCGCTAACGGCATCACCTTCCCCAAGTCTGCGTCGGGCTACAGCGGGGATCTTCATCTTTTCTCACTGCGCACATGTAGGCCTACACACACACGTGCACTCTGTGTGTGCGCGAGTACGCCACCTGGCTCTGCGTGGTGTTGGTGACACCCCACACCGTGGTGACGACGGAGAGCGACCCCGGCGGCTGGTTCGGGTTCTGTGGCCACGGCACGGACTCGTTGTATGTGAATGGCCCGTCCCTGCGATCGCGCACACGCGCACACCACACGCACACACGCACACACGCAAACGTACACGTACAGACACACGCAGTGAGTCTTGAGCAGGTCACCCCAGCAACGGCGCTCAGTCGCAATGCCGGGCTTGACGCGGCCGCTTTACGAACTCATAATATTTTACGCGATGTCACAATTAATTATAGTCACGCTATCGGGGCTACGAATGCGGGGATTAGGGACCTCAACAGAGAAGTAACTCTAACCAGCAGCCCTTCCGCGCGCGCAAATGCACACACACACACACACGCATACACACACGCACCAGCTGTAATTCCAAACTTAAGTGGCAATGATGTCACCAGGCACACGTGCCAGGTACAGGTACACTTCGAGGCCACGTGGATCGTCGGCAAAAAAGGGCTCGCCAGCAGGTCATGGGGCAGACCCGGGGTGTTACACGTTAACTGATTTGGGGGGTTGACTAGCGTTCATGCACCACCTGCCCCGGCCACACCGCAAGTATGGGCCGAAAAGCACACCGCACGCTGCACACGCTGCATGATTCCGCCCCCCGCGTCTCAACCCCAGCAGCCACTTCAATTGAAATGTCACCGTGTACACCCCCCCACCCCCCCCCCCCCCCGTGTAATTAGCGCTGCCCTCACACGGAGCGCAGGGCAGATTCAATTAGCCCAACAGCCGCCCGCTGCCTCACCCTGCCGCACGACAAACAAAGCCGCGGCAAAGCTCTCCCCACTTAATTACTCAAGAGGGGCGGCTAATGGCGGCGGCTGCGGCATGCTGCTGCTGCTGCCGCCGCCGCCGCCTCGCAATTCCATTTCTCGGTCACGGAAACCGCGGCCGCACTGGGCTAGCCCCGTGCGTGCGTCAGGGTGTGTCTGTCTGTACCGTGGGGAGCGGCGGCACAGCAGTTAGCGGGTCGCGCTACAAACCCAGCGACCCGAGGTCGATTCCCGCTCACTGCCAACACCGGTGACGATTATCTGAACCGGTCCTGGGCCTCCCCTAGGTCGACTCAGCCTCAGTTGAATACCTGGTGTGGTGGGTAAACATCGCCACTCGGAAGACAGAGGTGGTCAGGTGTGGTGCTGGCAATCCACGCCCTTGTGTGCCGTGTCGGCTTTCATAGTTGCTACTCGCAAATGGCACTTGCCCTAACAGCCGGTTAAAGGCCACAAAAGGGGGAATGGCACTTGCCCTAACAGCCGGTTAAAGGCTACAAAAGGGGGACCCCCCCCCTTGTCTCCGCATTGGTGGTGTTTGGTGATTGTTGGTGATTGTTGCAGGGGGTGGAGAGCGGGAGGGGTGGATGCGGGCGAGTGGGGATGGCGAGTGGTTGATACCCGTGCGGAGGAGGGAGGTTGGGCTTCATGGCGTTCATCCCCGGCTGCATCGGGGTGAGCTTGGCGCCCCCCTCGCTCTGCCGCGTCTTCTGATGACGCAGCAGCAGCAGGCGGCCGAGGTCCTCACACCAGGACGACAGCAGCGCTGTGGGGGGCACAGAAGGGGACGAGAGGCAGGGGGGGGAGGGGGGGGAATCACAGGGATGAGTACGGTCACTCGCGGCGGTGGCGGCTTCGCGGTTCTATAACGTATCGGAAATCCTGGGGGGCCGCTATAGGATTCCTTTAGGTGTCGTTTAGGGATTTTGCTGTAATTGCTTTTGGGGGGGGCGCGATGGATTTTCTGAAATGGGATGCGCGATGGATTTTTTTTGCGGTGAGAGGATTGCGGCGTTGAGACGTGTGGGGGGGGGGGGGGGGGTTGGGCAGCGAGGAGATCCACGCGGCACAACCGCACATAGCGAATAGAACCGCCACGTGGGCACCGTGGCACGCCACTGCGCGCAACATGTAATAACCACGACGGATATGTACGTACGTTGAACTTCTTTCGCACCTTACGTAGCCGACCGCGCTAATCGGAGGTGCGGGGAGGGGGGGGGAAGGACGACAAACTACAAATAGCAGTCCTAAAGAGATGAGTTTTCAATAGAAATGTAAAAATATTTCTCTACGCGTGGTGTCTTCACCGCAAATACACCATGTCACCAACACGTGCCACCGTGTGTACCCCCCCACCACAACGCGCGCGCAAGGGCACACACAACACGTGTCCACCACAAGCGCACGAAGCGACACGCACGCCGCCACCACGCGCATCGCCGTCAGCAGAGGGCAGCAGAGGGCAGCGGAGGGCAATGCGTATCCCACATGGGCTTCACGGCACATTTGCTTGATTACACATTCACGCGCGCGCGCATGGAAAGATAATGTAATCTGTTTAGCCAGACAGACCGATGGCGCAAGTGGCGTTAGCGAGCACCTATTAACGTCAGGATTGGCACACGAGGAGGTGATGATGTGTTCAGAACCACGCCTAGAGCCAACCTCTGCCTCCCGCGCTGATGTTGATACGTCTGAACCAAGTACTCGGTGAATGCCGAGAGAGAGAGAGCCTCGCAACGGGCTGAGCTACACTACACTTGCGACTGATGCCATAAGCTGCACTTGGGAATCGAACTCGGGTAATCGGTGGAACGTACAAGCCAGTCCGCCACCGTCACACACACACGTCTTGTGTGTTGTACATGCCCCGTGGACTGAAATAGCTGGGGCTATGTCCACACGAGTGTATGCTTGCTTAACCGGCTGAAAACGCAAGAGAGACGAGGATAGTTTAATTTCTAAGGAGTGACCCACAGCGGTAGTTTGGTACACAGCTATCGGGTACTACCACTAGGGTATGAATGTGGTAATAGGACTGAACGATTTGGGGGAAATGTCTAATTGCGATTTTTCGGGCAGATATTGTGATTGCGATTTGATTTGCAATTATTTTTTTAAAGTTCAGTTCAATATTCACTGCGTAATACATTTTAAACGTGATATATGAATTGCTTCCAACATGTATTTATTTAAAAAAAAATGAAATAGAACAATCAAACATAGAACAATTGTTAAATTAAATAAATAAACTTTAAATAAAATCAGAAAACAATTCCAATAATAGGACTTTTCAAATCGCAAAAAAAACGCAGCCTTTGCGATTTGCTAATCGCATTGTTTCAAATTGCAATTTCGATTTGAAATCGATTAATCGTTCAGCCCTAGTTATGTAGTCAGTATACTGTGGTATAGCTACCGGGCACTGGCACTGGGGAATGACTGTGGTAGGTAGTCCGTCCACTGTGGTATAGTTGCTGCGTTACTGTGAATACGCGTCCAAGCGAGATCCAACCCCGTGGCCTCAGGGGATGTACAAGTGAAATGCGGCTGTAATCAAGGCTGCATAGCAGCAGCCACACGCGTGACACGCACACAGAGACACGCCGCGCTATCTATACACAGTCGTCCTCGTACACGCTACAACGCACATACCCAACACCGTTCACGCACCCTGGGTGTATACACGCTAAATAGAGACGCGTCAAGATGTCGTGAACAGAGCCGTTGATGTTACCGCTATATATGTGTGTGTGTGTACATACCAGACATTTATTATACACTACATATACACGTACATAATATACACACTGTATATAAAACCGGAGACTACAGCGTGTCTGTATTATACACGATGTGCGTGTGTGTTGACGTGTGTGCGAGTATGTGTGTGTGTGTGCGCTTCGAGAGGTGTGGTGTGTTTAGGGCTAAGTGTGTGCGTGTGTGTTGACGTGTGTGCGAGTATGTGTGTGTGTGTGCGCTTCGAGAGGTGTGGTGTGTTTAGGGCTAAGTGTGTGTGGAGAGATGCGTGCCGGGCGTGGTCCTGGCCACCCACCCCCTCCGTGTGCTGTGCCGGCCTTCATAGGTGCTCGCTAACAGCACTTGCCCCTACAGTCCGTTGCAAGATATCGGGGGGATCTTTGCCTTTGCATGGAGGTGTGTGTGTGTGTTGGGGGAGGTGCGTATGTGTTGGGGGAGGGGTGTGTGTGGTGGAGGAGGTGTGTGTGTGTTGGAAGATGTGTATGAGTTGGGAGAGGTGTGGGGGGGGGTGTGGGGGGGAGGTGTGTGTTGGAAGATGTGTATGAGTTGGGAGAGGTGTGTGGGGGGGGAGGTGTGTGTGTGTGTTTGTTGGAAGATGTGTGTGTGTGGGGGAGGTGTGTGTGTGTTGGAAGATGTGTACGAGTTGGGAGAGGTGTGTTACGCTGCGCTACAAACCCGGCAAAAAAAAAACAGTGGCGAATATCTGAACAGATCCTAGGCCTCCCCCCTAGGTCGACTCAGACTTAAACGGGTACCTGGTGTGGCGTGTAAGCGTCACCTTTTGTGACGGTGCTGGCCACCCACCCCTCGGTGTGCCGTTCCGGGTGTCATAGATGCTCGCTAATAGCACTTGACCCTAACAGTCTGTCGAGGCTATACGGGGGATCTCTATCTCGAGACGTGTGTGTGTGTTACATGTAAGGCGTTGTGTGAGTATTGGCGACA